AGAAAAGGTTTAAATTGCATATTCATTTCACACACACACGAGTTTGAAAGGAAATGTGTATGTGTATATTCTAGAATAGCATTTAAAGCTATGATGAAACTCATTGTGATTGGTTCGGGTGTTTGGAAAGTTGTGTCTGGCAACCTAGAACAAGTAGGATAAGGGAATATTGATCAAATTTTAGATATGGGAAAGAAAGAGGAACCCTTTTTACACTAGTTTCTGCTTTACTTGTTGGGCTTTGTTGAATTTAGAATTCTATGTCATGTGTTTTGAAAGCTTCAAGACTCAAATCGCAACACAAATTTGTAAATGAATTTAGGCATAGTCATAGAACGTGATTCACTAGCATGGATCATGTATTTTGGTAGTTGAGTTAGGAAATAGGTTATTAGAATGTTTTTGAGTTGAATAAACTTGGAGTGGGAGTGAAAATGAGAAAACAAGAATTTTTTGGCAGAAAATGAGTTAGCTACCGGTATCAGAAGCATGACCTACCAGTAGCTAGTGGTAGAATGGCTATAAAAATAGAAGGGTCAGCTACTAGTAGAAGTATGACCTACTGGTAGCAGTTTTCCAAAAAGGTTAGCTACCCATAGCAGACTTATGACCTATCGGTAGCTCATGCCCAGAATCGCTAAAACGAGGGTTTTAAACCCATTTTTTTTTTTCAAAAAACCCTTCATCTCTATCATTGCTCTCCCTTTCAAAAACACTTTCTCCTCTCTCAAAACCCTCCAAACCTTTAAAGAAACCTTGGGCATCCTTCATCTCTATCAATTTTCTCTGTCAAGCTTTGATTTCCCTTGATTTCTCCTCACCTCAATTTTTTCCTCCCCAAAAACCCTCTCTTTTCCATAAAACATCTCCAAATCCATCAAAAGTCATGATTTTCACTCAAAACTTGGATTTTTGGACAATGGCTAGAATAGTTAAGTCTCCACCTTCATCTCTTGGTATTTTTGAGTAATTTTGGGGTAGGGTGTTCTCGTTCTTTGTCCTAGGGGCATTTTTGATTTTTATGGCCCACACCGAACAAACGGGCCCTGTCCATCACCACAAGCCAAAACTAGGTCCCGCAAGAGGGCGAAGGTGATGTCCCCCAATGAAGGGGAGCCAAGGAAAAAGAAGAAGCATGACCCTCACACGGAGAGCATTAAAACCAAGAATGTGATGTGTGAGCGGCAAGTTGATAGGCCCACCCTCGGGTGACACGATGACGTAGTCCTAGCGACTGAGGGCCATGGGCTACATTTTTGGTTCCAGGCAGTGGAGGGGTATGTGCTTCCCATTTGTCAGGAATTTTACGAGAGGTTAGGGATGGTAGATGAAGATTTGCGTTTGTTAAAGACGAATGTGAGGGGAAAGGTGATTGAGGTCACCCCGATAGTCATCGTCGAGGCACTGCAGTATTAGAGGCACGCTACCAACACCTTTGTCTTTCCCCATAACACCTGAGGGAGGAAGTCACTTCAAGAGTACGTGAGCCTGATGTATGAGGTTCCTTTACAGTTCAAAAGAAAAATTCAAGTTGACGGACTCAAGCACTCCTACGGGGTGATGAATAAGGTCCTTCACTACAATCTTTTACCTTGTGGTGCAGAGAAGACACCAGGGGAGGAGAAACTAACCCTCCTTTATGAGTTCATAGCTGGCACTAGGATGGACATCACCTTGATGATTTGGGAGGTGATAAAGGACTACGCCCAGACTACAAAGACATGGGTGAACCTTCCTTACGCCCACCTTGTCACCAAGATCTGCCACCAGAACAAGGACAAGGGCATCCTTATTGACGTGACACTCCCACCTGAGTTTGGCCCTATAGGCAGGCCGAGCAGCATGAAGAGGAAAGCTATAACAGGATTGTCTAGACAGAGAAAAGAGAGACCTCAACCATCTAGGGCTGAGCCACCCATAGTTGGACCATCTATAGCTGGGCCATCTACTGCTGCCTCACCTCTAACGGTTTCTCAACGTCTAGATGGGATCGAGGGGAGGTTGGATGATTCTGGGGGGACTATGTAGCTGCTAAAGTTGACGGTGACCAAGATTTTTGAGAGGAATTTCCCCAGAGAGCCTCTCCCTGAGATGCCACCACCATTCGCCACCGCACCAGAGTTCCCATCACCTGCTCTGGGGACTAGTACTGAAATCCAAATGTCTACCCCTAGTGGCTCGACTATTGTCGTGGAGGTGGTTGAGAGCCTAAGATTGATGACGAGGATGAGGACGAAGAGGATGAAAAGGATGAGGATAATGATGGGGAAGATGAGGAGGAGGATTAGAGAGAGTTTAGTCTTGTTTATCTTTTGTTATTGTTTTGTTGGTTGTATATAATGGATAGCAGTGTAGAAATCTCTAGCCTAGTAGAAGAATTCCTAGGATTGTAGGCCATTTTATCTTGAGTCCTTTGTACTTATTGCAAATTTGTCTAAATGAAAGAACTAAACTTTTTGTTTCATTGTGCCCCAATCTTATTTACATAATTGCAATGTGATTTGAGTATTTTGTTGGTCCATGAATTCTCTAACATAAATTAAATTGAAGTAAGGTTTGTTAGGGACTAGCAAAGCTCAAGTTGGGGTGTGTGATTAGTGTGGAACATTGCATACTAAGCATCTTCATGGCATCCAATTTAACTTGTTCTATAGTGAATTTTTGGGGATATGGATTCATATTGATAATTAATGGAGATTGGTATAATTGTAGGTGATAGGCTGAAGAGGGCAAGAATAAAGCACCCCATTAAGTGATCAAGGTCAATGGGGAATAGAGGATCTTATAACGGATGGCTCTGGAGCTCAAGGAACCCAGAATTTCAAGATAAGGAGATGAGCTACTGGTAGAAGAGCCTACTAGAAAGCAGCTTCCAGTGCCTCCCTACAAGACCTACTGGTAGGAGATTTATGAGATAACAGCAGAAGACCCCACTGGAAACGAGTTACCGGTAGAAATCCTACAAGACTTACTGGTAGAAGAGCTACTAGAAGTAGCCTCCAGTGCTTCCCAGCAAGACCTACCGATAGGAGATTTATGAGCTACCGGTAGAATACATTATTGGAAATGAGCTACTGGTAGGGGCCATACGAGCTATCGATAGAAGATGCCCAAAAAACCCAGACCTTTCTCGAAATGACTCCACCAACTACAGGGGCCCACCTTTAGTTATCTAATCCATGTTCTAACATTTCTAACACCCCATGATGATCTCCTAACCCCTACATTCAGATTTCAAGCATGAGGGAGTGGGGAGCCAAGGGAGAGAGAGGGAGTGATTGGAAAAACATGGGAGAACCATGCTTTGACTAATTTTGGAAGCTTTTGTGGACAATCTCTCTCCACTCACTCCAAGTTAGCCACTCATGCTAAGAGGGAGGGGGATGGATGAAAATAGGGACTTCCTTCACAAATTTTTAGATTATCAATACTTTTAGAGAGAGAAGGTCCAAGGTAGAAGATGAAGTTCTAGAGAGAGAAAGTTGGGTTTTACATTTTTCTTCACCATTTTCATTGTAGTAAGCTCTATTTCACATGTAATCTTTCACTTTTGCACTTTAATCTCTTTTATTCATGTTGTAATTAAGCTTAGCTAAGTTCCTTGTGGTTCATTTCTACATTTGGGTCATATTTCCTTTAAGCTTTACATTTTAGAAATGAATAACTTTTCTTTTGTAGTTTAAACTTTCTTTTACATTAATACAAATCTATGTTTGATTTCATCACTATGTTTGTCTACTTAATGTTTGCTCTTACCTTTACCATGCATAGCTAAACTTTTAGTTGGCTAATCCAAGAGGGATTTCCTCTTGGGTTTGTGAAATCGACTCTCTTCCATTCTTCCTTATAGTGTAAAGTGTTTGGTTTGACTAGGTTAAGTGAAAACATGGTTGAGGGCTTTTGATACACTATAGACTTGTCACGGGATATGCTCTTGTCCAACGCATCCATAGTGGTCCCTCACTTCCTACAAATCAATCAAACATCAAGACACCATTGGTTGAATGAAATGAGTCGATTTGGCATTCCCATTGGAATGACCTCTATGAATTAGCCAACCTTGCTTTCTTGCATATTTCTTAACTAACAACTCACCAAATTTGAAATCACAATATTTTTCAATTTTCTCTTTTTTACAAATCACTTTTCCAAAACACCCGACTTCTTATTCCTTGAGGAAACGACCTTGAAATACTCATTCCAAGTAACATAGGACATTGTAAGTCTCTCTACGCTTGGGGAACACTTTTGCACACACATATATTTTTGTTCATCCACACATAATTTCCCCATTTCTTGCATTGAACTCGAGGGAGAGTTACACTCACCAATCTCTATAAGCAATATACATATCAACTGGGTTCGTGTTGGAGGTTAGGGAAAATGATATCAAGCAGCCTGTAGACGGAGGAGACAAACAGGTCCCTAAGGAGTCCAGGCCTTAAATGTGGAAGAACAGAGAGAAGGCTAGAGTTTGCCTTCTTCAATTTGTTATAATAGTGAGATTTAGGCTACCTTCAAAATGGGGCCTAACTGGGTTGTGGCTATTCTCCAGTAGACCATCGAGAATGTGAGACTTCTTTTGGTTCCTTTCTTTCACTTTCTATTGCTTTCTATATCCACATGTGAGTAGTATACTCAGCTTTTCTTTATGTAGCTGGCCATTTTTCCTACAAGCATTTCATATGCAACTATGGCCGAGAAGGAATCTTTCTTATACAACTACAAAAGAGCCTGATGGCTTCCTTAGAGAGGTCCTTCAAGAATTGAAGGAGAAGGGAGACATCTAGCTTAGTTTGAACGAGAAGATCGAGGAGAAGAATCAATTTTTGGATAGTAAGAAGGAGCAGGAGTTGAAGCTTGCTGCCTTTGAAAGTTCTACTTCTGAGCTCTCTTTTTAGTTAGAGAAGATGGTAGAGGAGAACGATGCCCTTTCCCTTAAGGTTTCTGTGCTCTCTATTGCTTTCAACAAGAAAGAGTTCGAGCTCTCTAATGTCTAGAAAAGAAAGAGTCCGAGCTTGCTTACGCTGTCAAAGCTACTACTAATGCAACTATTAAGGATTTCAAGGACTCTCTTGATTTTAAAAATGAGAATCATGAGTATTATGAAAGTGGTTTTAAGGACTTCAAGGCTCAAGTTGCTCGTGCATTTTTAGAGCTTGATTTCTCCAAAATTCGATCCGAGGATAATCCTTCCTCGCCCACTGAGAAAGAAGGAGAGAAGAAAGAGGAAGTCGGTAATGAGGTCACTAGGGCTGTTAGGGTGGATCTTAGAGACCAGGCCAAGTTCTAGATCAAAGTGGGGGCTCCTACAAAGGAGTCGATAAAGGAGAGCCTTCCAGTTGAGAAAGCAGGTTAAGTTTCTTTTTAAAGTTATAATCTCTTGCCCCAGTAGTAATTAAAGTACCTTTTTATTATAGCAAGTTGTATCCTCCTCCTATCTTTGTTGCAAATAACTCTCATGTTTCTAAACTTCTCACAATTCTTATAGGCTTTACTCGAGCTAAAGGGTGCCTTAACTTGCTAATGAACTCCTAGGATTCAATCCGAGCTAGGCTTGATGCCTTAAGCTATTAATGAACCACTTGGGTTCAATTAGAGCTAGTCTTGATGCTGTAAACTACTAATGAACCCCTTGGGTTCAATCAGAGCAAGGTTTGATTCCTTAATTTGCCAATAAATCCCTTGGGTTCATTGTAAGCTAGTCTTGATGGTTTTTCCCTTTATTAGGCAGTTAAGTGCAGATACAACACAACATAGGCTCTGAGACTTAAGGTTTTGCTGGATAACAAATGTCATATTTATTGTGCATGCTAAAAGGCAATAGAGAAAGCCTATTACAATCAAAAGAAAAGCATAATTACTAGTAAAAATTCTTCAAATGTTTTGCGTTCCATGGATGAGCTACCTTGACTCCTTCTAAGGTCTCTAGGTGATAAGTCCCTAGTCTTAGAGCTTTTATGACTTAGCATGACCTTTCCCATGTTGCTCCTAACTTCCCCCTCTTTGGCATCTTTTTTAGTTGGGGTGAATTTCCTTAAACCAAGTCGTTCAGTAGAAAAGTATGTGGCTTGACCCTAGAGTTGTGGTACCTTGCCATCCTATGTTGATATGTTGTTACCTTTACTTGTGATTCTTCTCTCTTTTCTTCTAGCAGATCTAGATTACATGGTAGTTGTTGGTCATTCTGAGCCAGGTCAAATTCTTTTGTTTTGTACATTCTTAGACCGATCTCCATTAGGATTACTACTTTTGTTTCAAACGCCAAGGAGAATGGAGTTTCTCATATAAGGGTTCTAACAATGGTTTTGTAGGCCAATATGATTCTTGGGAGTTCCTCTATCCATTACCCTTGATTGTTCAAACCTAGTGTCGATACTTTTGAGGGGAGTTTAGATTGTTACCTCAACCTACCCATTGCCTTGTGGGTGACATGGAGAGGAAAAATGGTTGTGAATTCCAAGCTTAGAGCAAAATCTTCTAAATAGGTCGTTATCAAATTATTTTCCATTGTCACTAATGATGATCGATGGGATGCCAAATCTTCACACAATCAATTTCCATACGAATCCTTGGATTTTTTGCTTAGTGATTGTCGTTAGAGGCTCTGCCTCGGACCACTTAGTGAAGTAGTCTGTGGCTACAATTGCAAACTTATTATGTCCTTTCACCATAGGGAGGGGTCCCATAAAGTCAATTCTCAACTAGGGAAATGCCTATGGTCTTGTTATTAGGGTGAGCTCAGTGGGAGACAATTTTGAGACAGAGGTAAATTTATGGCATTTTCACACTTTCTCATGGCATTCTTCATTGTGGCTAGAAAAATACACTTGTTTGAGCACTTTTTGTGCCATAGCATATCCTCCCAAGTGGTTTCTACAAAGCCCTTCATGTACCTCTTCAAGCACATATGCTGCATCAGTACCAGACACCTTAAATGTGGGAGCACCTTGTTGTGTATTGTGCACTTGGCCACCTTCATGTGGAGCTTTCTCGCCTTTTGAATATCTTGGGGGATTGTTTAATGTAGTAGATATACAACTATTTCATCTATCCAAGTTGCCTTTGGAGCGACTAGTTGGGCATCTAGGCCCTATGTGCTCGATTGTATTAAGAATTGCATAGAGATGCTCCTTACTAGGTCATTGGATAGAGTTGAAGCTAGTCATGCTAAAGAGTCTACATGGGACTTTTGTAATCGGGTATCTTGATGACCTTGAAGTTCTCAAACTCTTGTACCATTTTCTTTATGATACATAAGTAAGAGATCATTCGGGGGCTCTCTAGCCTTATACTCCCCTTGCAACTGTCTTACTCCTAGATGGGAGTTATTGTAAGCATGTAAGTGTTTCACTCCTAGTGACTTAGCTAGCTTTGGACTTGCAATGAAGGATTAATATTTTGCTTCATTATTTGAGACCTTGAACCCAAAGCGTAGGGCATACTCAATCTCCTCCTCCTTTGGTGAGATGAGGATCATATTAGCCCCTAGGTGAATTGGAGGACCTATCTACATATATCTTACAACTGGTTGTCTAGGTGTCAGCCTTTAGGGGTTCTTCTATCTCATTTAAAATTCTGTAATTAGGTTAGCTATTACTTGTCCTTTCATGGTGATTTGGGGAATATATTGTACATCAAAATCCCCTAGCTTGATGGACCATTTTTCTAGTTGTTTGGACAAGTCAGGCTTCTGAAGGATTTCCCACAAGGGGACATCTGTTATTAACTCGATCATATGAGCCTAAAAGTAAGGTCTTAATTTTTGGGAGGCTGTTGTCAATGCAAAAGCTATTTTCTCTATTGTTGGGTACTTGGACTCTGCCCCCTCAGCGTTCAACTTACATAGTAAACTGGATGCTAAACTCCTTTCCTTTGGCACACAAAGACTACACCTATTACTTATTGAGACACAACAAGATATAGGTACAACATCTCTCCTTTTTCTGGCCTGACAAGAAGTAGTGGTTTGATAATATATTCTTTAAGAGCTTTGAAAGTAGCCTCACACTCGGGGCTTAATTCGAAGTCTTTCCTTAGTATTTTGAAGAAAGGCAAGCATTTTTCACTAGATCGAGAGATGAACTTGTTCAGTGCTGCTACTCTCTCGATGAGTACCTAGAATTCCTTAGTGTTCATAAGGGACCTCATATCCAAGAGTGCCTAGATCTTTTTGGGGTTAGCTTTTCTTTTTAATGCCCCTTTGGGTCACCATGAAATTGAGGAACTTACCTAAGGAGACTCCAAAGGCACATTTAGCAGGGTTGAGCTTGATGTTGTATCTCTTGAGTATTTCAAAAACTCGTCTTAGATGGTCTATATGTTCACTGGCTTAAAGGATTTTCATGAGCATGTTGTCCACATAGACCTTCATAGAGCTTCCTATGAGTACTTTGAACATTTGGTTGACTAGCCTTTGACATGTGGCTCCAACATTCTTTAGACCAAAAGGCATGACTTTATAGCAATAAGTCTCTTATTGAGGCCTTATCTTCGTCATACTCATCCATCATGATTTGATTATAGCTACAAAATGCACCCATGAAGGTTGGTATCTCCTATCCTACTATAGCATCAACTAGAATGTCAATTCTAGGTAATTAGGAAGCAGCTTTTTTGACGCGCCTTGTTCAAATTTGTAAAGTCAATGCATATCTACCATTTTTCGCCAGTTTTCTTTACTAGCATTACTTTGGCCAGCCACTCAGGGGTACTGCACCTCCCTTATCGATCTAGCTTCAAGGAGTTTAAGCACTTCTTCCTTAATTTATATATTCCGTTATGGAGCAAAGCTTCATTGCTTTTCCCAAACAGGTTTGAAGGTCAAGTTGACATTCAACTGATGCACCATAATATATGGATTGATTCTCATCATATTCGATTGCTTCTAAGCAAAAACATCCTTGTCAGAACGTAATAATTCTATAATCAATGATTTGAGAACCTTCTTGAGCATCTTTCCATCCAAGGTAATTGATCTGAATTGAATTAAATCATGCACCCAAGTATAAGTGGTCAAATTGTAGCATTTCTCAGTTAAGTACGAGGTCGAACTCACAGGGAGCTAACTGTTGCTACTTACAATATAAAACGGTAAATTTTTTTTTGTGTAGTGTGCAATGGAATAGCTTGTGGTGTGAGCTTAGAATTATCAAATAAAAACTTAACTAAAACTTTGAATAACAATGATAAAAGGTACTCTTCAGTTCGGGGATCCAACATGCATTTAATTGTTTGTTTATGAAAATGCCACCTTACAACAATTAACTCCCATTTTACTAGAAAGTTAACCAGTAGGTTTAATGAATAATTGAACCATATCACAACAACTGATTTGGTTAGCCGGAAGGTCTATATACCATGCAACAACCAAATAACCCTAGTAAACTTGAAGGTAAATCATTTAAAAGGTTTACTCTAGCTATTCGATCAACAGGTTGATGATTCAATGAAGATTGAGTTCTAGTTTACGCATTGAATCAAAAGTATTAGTTATGGCGAGATTTAATCCGTCTATAACAATTCTCCTAACTGTTACATAAAGCCCAACTACATGCATCGCTGTATCATGCATGAAGTAAGTAATAATTATAGATAAAATGGTATATAGCATTAGCCTTTGCTCAATGTTCATAACTATGAGCATATTATAATAATAGCCATCCATCAATTAAGATAGGTATAAACATTAATGCATAAATAAGACAACGGCATTTTCATAACTTAAATAGTATTACACATGCATTCATCTTTCACCGAAGAACATAAACGGACTACTCATGCCCCATTGCTATAGACAAGCAAAAAGAATGAGGCAATCCCATTACAACCGAAAATAAAATACAACAAAGTCCTTTTCCTAAGGAATAGTTGAAACACTACCACTCTTATTACCGACTAAGGCACAAAAGTGGGAGAGGTTCAACCCTCCAAGTAGAAAGGATAAATAGAAATCTAGAAGTAAAGAAAATTCTGGCTGAGAAGTGATTAGGGCAGGGCTTCACTCATTTTCTTACTAAAACACTCCTTGAAGTCTCTATTTCTCTCTTTCCTTGCCTTCTTTCTCTGCTCCCTTGAACTAAACTAAACTATGGTGACTCCCCTTGAAAAATGGCTGAAACAGGCTATTTATAGGTACAGGAAAGAGGGGGTAAAGCGGTAGACACCCAAGCTGACCAATTAGGGCCTTCCATCGCTTAAATGGACCAATGGGAGAAGAAGAAGAAGTGAGGCAGTTTAAGCACCATCCGTACGGTGGGGATTCTCTGGATTTCATGCTTGGCAGCCACCCTT